CATAGCATCGATTTTTTGATGCATTTGTACTACGGTTTCCTCTACCAAACTGTGACAAGGGCTTTCGATACCAAAGCCATGCTGTTTCTCAATAAAGAGCGGGTGAAAACCTCCAGCCAAGTAGGGAGATATCTTGTCTGTGGTGTGAAGACCCCCTTCCTCCCCATATTACTTTGAGCAAGGGTCGTGCCTGAATCCTCTTTCATTGGGTCAGGGCCCTTATGCTGGTGTCAGTTAGTCATGAGCCTTTGCAGCCCGTCCATCACATTAGGTGACCCACATTGACATTCCAGCATCACCTCTTTCAAGCTGGGTGATCCCAAGCCTTAGTTTCCCCAACTGTAAAATGGGAATATCTATTACAAGCCTGGTTTCCAGACTGGCTGTGCCCCTAATGAGCTATATGGCATTAAATAAAGGGGTAGAGCTCACAGACATTTAAGTATTTTCTACTCCTTGGAATCTTTCAATGCCCTAGAGTGTAAGAACTCCAATTTCCAAACAAAAACTTCCTTTGTCTTCATCTCTAAGCAGCTATCGTCCCCAAACCACTTTTTTGACCTAGACTCCAAAGTCCAAGTCCCATTTTGCCCTGTTGAAAGAGTGATCTGAGAACTGTTTGAGGGTGTAAATTTTCTCAGCATCACAATCACACAGAAATACCTGGGATAAACGGCTCCATGGTGAAAAGGATGGCGTTCAATTATCTTTAGCATTGTTCCCCTCTCACCAGTGGAGCCTCAGCTTCTAATCCTGGGACAATAGGCTGCCCTGGGGAAGTTTTGCTGCACACAAAGAAAGTTCACCGAGAAGCCATGGCCCGGCCCCCAGGGGAGAGTGACTTTTCCTTCACTTTTCAGTACATAAGGCATCTTTCTCTGGACATTTCCTTCTTCACATCTGCCCGGAAAGGATCGAATAATAACAGCTCAGCTGAATGGGTGTAGAGAATCTGAGGATAGAATGATTTCAAGGGCCAGAGACTCCAGGTCAATGTTCATGGTCTTCACTGGGTGTGGCTCACTTCCGACATGTGGTCCATTTGTGGGAGCAAGTTTGTGGTAGTGACTCTAACACAGGAACACACCTGCTCACCCTCTGTCCTGTCCACCTCTCTCCTTAGAGCCCAGGATTCAAAGCAAAAATTAAAGCTGTCTTTTCTCTCCAGTTACCCACATATGAAAGATACACACAGGATCCAAACCACAAAGCAAGCCTGTGGAGAAGTAACCTAGCCTTCCACCCCTCTCTTTTTCTCCTTTCTGGCTCGATGGTTCCGGGGAAACAAAGCCACAGAGGAGGTGTTCCTGGGAATCAAACCATAATCCTCAGATGGTTGGCTTAGCTCATGAAGCATTAGTTCAAGTCTTTATTTTTATTTTTACTGCTCTGAGCATTAAAAGGCTAATATGCAAATTGTCCCCTCGACCAGGAGTTCAACCTGGGAGTTGGACCATGGAGCGGGGCTGGCCAGCCAACCGCCTGCGGCCCCTCCCCCAAGTCAGCCCTGCCCCCAGTTGGCCCCCCCACCCCGATCAGGGGCTGGGCCGGCCAACTGTCTGCAGCCCCTCCTCCCAGCCAGCCCAGCCTGATCACCACAATCGGGGTAGGCCAGCCAGACCCCACCTATGCACAAATTTGTGCACCAGGCCTCTAATCTAATTATAATTTAAATTGCAGGAGAGTTCTGGGCACCTACTAAGTGCCTCACACGGATGAAAACGAACATAGAAAGGTCATTTTGAATGAGCAGCTGGCAGTCCCCATGATGAAAAGTCCAGACCTTACCCCGCCTTTCAGTTCGGAGGGGATGGTGGGTCTTTTCCTCTTGCTCATGTTAATCCTGCTGGCAAACATTTTTTAGGGGGACAAAGGAAAGGGATATTTGAATGTGGATCTGCCTCCAGTGATAAACAATAGAAGCTGGGAATTGGTCTTGGAGAACAGCAAACAGGAAGCACATGGAAGTCATTAGGATATTGGGGAGGGTCAGGAAGCATGGGAGGCAACTCAGGGAGTTTGTTCCCTTTGCATTCCTATATGTGAAGGTGAATAGAATTAACTTTTACTGGGCATCTGGCCTCATATCTTCAAGACATTATTTTTGCTCCCATTTAGAGATAAGGACCATGGAACTCAGGCAGTAAAGTCATTGTCCTGGGCCCAAGACCCAGGGTCTGAACACAGGGAAGAAAGAGAACATAGACATGTCATATGCCAGCTCTTTCTGGCACCTAAGCTGAGCTCATTCTGCCACAGGACACCATGAATGGCAAAGTTCAGTGTGGGTTAGCCGGGAGTGTTCTGGTTAATTTTATAAAAGTTGGGCAAACAGCTCATTGTGGAAAGAAATATATATATATATTCATTTGTTATAAATTTTACAGCTATAATATATATATATATATACACTCGTTTGTTATAAATTTTATAGCTATACAGGACATATCATATATAATTTATAGATAATAATGCAATATACCATATTTTGTTTTGTAAATTTCCATATAGCTTGTTGATCCAAGCAAAATGATTTCATTGATTTTTGCTGAACTCTTACATCCCTAGCCAACCTATGGTTGCAATTGACAAGTGAATACAGTTCTGACATCAATAGCGATTGATATTTTCCTGTACATTCATGAGAAAAACAACAAAGAGGTGTGCCAGAGCCTCACTGGCATGCCAGGATGTGAGCAACTTCTTTGCTGAATCAGAAAATACTTTGAATACTGGAAAAAGTGTTTCCCATATTTGTGCTGTGCACAACATTACAGCTACAGACAACACAGATTTAAGTTAAATCTGCTTTATTAACATTCCCTCCATCATTTTCTTAAGTTAGTCTATTAACAAAGCAAAAAAAAAAATCACACTTTGACTCATAGCATATGCCAATTCCTGTGGTGGTGTAAATGTTCCCACGATGGCCACACTCAACACCAGTAAGAAGTCACTGGGTGTGGAATTGGGGAGAATGCACAGTCACATATTTCCATCATACAGATACCATAGACATAAGCAGCACCCAGACTGCAGATGAAATAGCAAAGTGCAATAAAATAATTAGGAAGCGATGCAGTTTGAGTCTTTATTGCCTTTGTTTTTAATATAATTTATTCAATTGTAATTTTATATAATTTAATTTTTAACAACAGCTGTGTTTAATTAACAACTGGTTTTCAAAATGAACCATCAGCTCTACTGCACAGCCTGAGCCGCCCCAGCTCACTAGTGACCCAGGGTCGACCTCCCCCATCCCCTTGCAGGTGCAATACTGAAGACCCCTGTCATTACTGACTCTCTGTTAAAAAACCCCCAAGCTTTTCTGAACACTATACTAGTTGACCTTGGAAAAGGTATTTCACTTCAAGAGTCATTTCCTTCTTTGTAAAGCCGAGATGGTCATACCTTCATCATAGTGTTGCTGTGAGGACTGGCAGAGTGACAAGCACTGTGACTAGAACTAGACGGTACGCCTGCTTGGTGCGAACTCCTTTGATGCTCAGAGCGGTCCTGAGAAGGAAATGTTATTGGCTTCACTTTGCTGATCGGGACAGTGAAGCCCAGAGGGACAGTCACGTCCCCAAGGTCACATTCAACCTGCCCCACTTGACCTGCACAGATCCCCAGGCCTCTTGCTAATGCAGATTCCGGGCCTGCAGGGCCAAGGAGGTGCCTTGGAACCTGCATTTCTAACCAGCTCACAGGTGCTGCTGCTGGTCCAGGGACCACACCTTAACGAGGTGCTGGACTGCCTGGCAACTGTCAGTCTGATCTCTGTATCGATGCGTCTGTCTCTGTTTTGTTTGTTCATTCGTTTTATTTTTTAGATTCAGGACATAAGTGAAATTGTAGAGTATTTGTCTTTTTCTGACTTATTTTTACTGAGCATATTACCCTCCAGGTCCATCATTTCAGCCTTTTCAGTGTTGAATAATATCCTATTGTGTACATGCACCACATCTGCTTTAGCTTTTAATGATTTCCACATTAAGCAGAGATTGATTCAGTGAGTGGGGCTGGGAGAGGGAACTGCCACAGCCTCAGCCACTGTTACTAGGATAATAACACCTCCCTGGCCTCCCTCACTCCCCACCCCGAGGTCCCAGGTCCCAGAAAGCATCCATACCCACCTGAGTTACTGCAAAACTTACCCAAAGGCCTCCCTGTTCCTGCCTTGCCCCCAAGGTCCCTCTGTTCTCCACCCAGCAGTCAGAGAGCCTACGGGGATATCACCATTGTCAGGGTGTCTCCCTATCTGGGACTTGCCATGGCTTCATGCTTCTGTGGAGTCCAGGACCTCCTGTGACTGCAGGACTCACCAGAAGTTCTTGGATCACATTCTTAACCCATCCCGGCACTCACTGCCTATCAGCCATGTGGCCTCCCTGACTCAACCCCCAGATGAGCTCCTACTTGCCATCTTCGTCCACCCCCAGCCCCTTAACTCCCACCTACCAGCCACCAGCCACCCCCCCTTAGTCCCCGGGCCTGGGTGCTCTTGCTGCAGATGCCCCACAGCTGGCCCCACAGTGCCCTCTCCCAGCTGTCACCTGCTCAGCGAGGCCCCAGGCCACCCCATGGAACAGCCTCCCTGACCACATGCCTTTCTGTTGATCGTGACTGCTGGCCTTCCCCTTCCCAAGGGCTAAGATCCTCTTCTGTCTTATTCCCGGCAAGAGGCTCTGTTTTGTTCCCTGATACACCCAACCACGAGAACAATTCCTGGCCCATGCTATGCACTCAGAGGGGGGAAATGTATTGTTGCATTAATTGTGATTAAGATTTCCAGCCCAGATACGGTTTGATTCCACATCAGGGCACATGCCTGGGGTTGTGGGCTCGATCCCCTGTAGGGGACATGCAGGAGGCAGCCAATCAATGATTCTCTCTCACTGATGTTTCTATCTCTCTCTCCCTCTCCCTTTCTCTCTCTGAAATCAGTAAGAAACATAGTTTAAAAAATAAAATAATAGAATGAGGATGGTGGCTGCAACATGACAGAAAGGTGAGAGGAAATCAACGGAAGTGAACAGACTCCTGCTGACGGTGCTAGACATTCCCAGGGGGAGATGGTGCAGCTGGACCCAGTGGCTAGCCCATTGCAGGCCGACCCCTCCTCTCCTCTCCCTGCCCCAGCTTGATTCCCTTCCTTTCCTTGGACCTTCTGGAGGCAGAAAGTGTGGGACCTGGAGGTGGAGAAAAGGATATTGTCTCGGGGCTCATGCTCTGGAAGCCCCCCTGCATATACGCACAAGGCCACTCCCCGGGTCCCTGCAGACCACAGGGAAGACCCACTGTCCATTCACGCCTGGGTTTTCCCTGGCTGTGCACCAACCAAGCACAAACCAAACTTTTGTTTTGAGAGTGGTCTTAAAAATACGTATATTGCTTTTTTTCATGTCGTTTTCTATCAGGCTTCCAGAATCTTCCAGGCATGACCATCTATAAATTAAATTCCACTATGAGCCCATCAATGGGCCCATTAACTGGGTGATTCACTGTGGGTATTGTGTTTGCTCATTATGTGCACTGATGGTCTCTTAGAAGCTCCGCTCCCCTGAGAGTCAAGACAGAGAAAAGGAAGCAGACAGCATTTGAAAAGATCAAATGTGAGGCTTCTATTTTTTTGGGGGGAGGAGGGGGGAGGCAAGGGGGTTTTCTTTGTTTTCTTTTGCTGAGTGAAATTTTAAACAAAAAAAAACAAGACAAAGAGGAAAGCATGGTGGTGGAGGGTAACTGGACGTTTGGGGGCCATCACTTTGTAGTGTATATAGATGTCAAATTAGAATGTTGTCTACCTGAAACAAGTAATAAAGAAGAAATATAAAGAGAGGAAAGAAGCTTTATGGGGTTTCTTGAAACCTAAAGGACTCAGGATTACTCTCTTGCTTCTTAAATTAGATTATCTTTTTCTTTCTCTCCTCAAGAAGATTGAAAAGAAACAGGAGAATTTATTTAGACGGCGCATAAAAAAGCTGAATTCGAAGACTGGCTCTGGCAAAGCCAAGGCCGAGTGGCAGGACCTCGAGCCCCACACGCGGAGCCAGAGCTCATGGGGCCAGTCCTCCCACTTCCCTGGGCTGCGCGGTTTTCTCACCTATAAAATGAACAGGTTCTGGCAGGTGACACCTACCTTTCCATCAAGCCCCGAGCTCTGAGGATCTTTAAAGCTCCAACTCTGGCAAAAGAAGGAGCTAAATCCAGACACCACCCTCCACTCAGCATCTGCATCCCGTGGGCAGAGCCTGTCTATTCTGGCGTGTTCTGGATCCATTTTTTGCCTTCATAAACCAGAATGAGTCATCCCCCCAGAGGTTCCTGACTCGTCTTCTCCTGCACAAACCTTTCCTCGGCTGCCCTTCCATTGAGGGGAGAGACAGGAACCCAGAGTTGGTGGGACATATGCGCACCATGGGTGACTGTGCAGGTGGCAACCCCTGGGTCCATTTATAGAGGAGCTGGGCCTCTCTCTGAGTCTGGAAAAGCTGGAGGAGGCACCTGAGAGACCTCAGGGAGAGGGGGTCAGTGAGGGGCTACCTCCCAGCCAAGTGTAGATCCAACAGGCAGCCATCAGAGCTATGCCCACAGGAACATCAGGTTCGGGCCAGGTGGACGGACCTGAAACTGGGCAGCCATTCAAATCAGGAGTAAACAAAGACAGGACACTGAGGAAAGAAGATGTGACAAGATGCCTGCCCGGCGTGGCTCAGTGATTGAGTATCAACCTATGAACCAAGAGGTTACAGTTCCATTCCCAGTCAGGGCACATGCCCAAGTTTGCAGGCTCGATCCCCAGTAAGGAGCATGCAGGAGGCAGCCGGTCAATGATTCTCTCTCACCATTGATGTTTCTCTCTCTCTCCCTCTCCCTTCATCTCTGAAATCAATAAAAATATATTTTAAAAAAGAAGAAGAAGAAGGAGCTGTGACAGAGGGTATGAACCCCCTACTTAGTGGCTTGGTTCCCTCTCACGTGGCTGCCAGCTTCTTAGGGCTGGGACCTTCTCTGTCTTTTCCTCCTGTGTCTCTAGTCCTAATACAATATCCAGCACATGGCAGCTACTTACTCGCTATTTGATTTGAGGCTGGCACCAGGATCTGCCTCCCAATTTCTACTCAGGTCAGTAAGCGACTCGAGTCAAAGGGCTTTGTTCCCATGACCAGAGACAGCCTTTCAGGGGTTTTGAAGTTGATTCAGAAGGAAAGGGGTCCAGGATGGGACTGGGAGCTTAGGAAACAGGCTGTCACCCAAAACCCCTGGACACCACAGCCTCACCAAGGTGACACATAGAGTTAACCATCACAATGGTGTGAATGGGTGAGGGGTGGTAATGAAAACATCTCATTGTGGCCCACTCAGTACTGAGTTCCTCGAGAAAGAGTCACCAGCTCAAACCTTCAGGGACCGGTTAGCTAATGTAAAAATGTAAGACAGTAGAGAGTGAATGGTTGGGCTTTATGAGCTTGAGAGGAAAAATCATATGTGAATATATTCAAATTCAAACTTTAAAAAAAAAATCTGTGAGGCAAGAAGGCCGTGTATGTCCTTCCATTTTTCTGGGTTCTGCAGGGCAAGCACATAAAAGGTGTCCGGTATCCAGGCTATAACGCGTCAAATCCCCAAGAAATTGAGCTTTGCTCAGGTGTTCAGGGAGAGTGCTAAGCATTTCCTGTGTTTAAAAAAAAAGCTGTGTACAGGAATATAACCACCCATACCGCTTAGGGACCAAATGAAATGAACAAAATAGGTGTCAATCACTTGGAGAAGTTGTTTGTGACAAATGATGTGGTGACTATTTTAAGGGAGTTAGAGGTGCAGCATTCAGCTGGAGAAATGATTATAATGGCCTCTCCCGGGCAAGAGTTGGAGAACCAGTTTATTCTGGTATTTGCTGGAGTCTTCCCAAATTAGCTGGAAAACTTTCAAAAATTGGCCTGACATTTTCAGGAGTCATAGAAGTTTAAAAAGTAGGCTGCAAAAAGATTCTAGCTGATTTGGTTTGTAAATTTGCAAAAAAAAAAAAATACCCTCTGGATGTTACAAAAGGGTCATCTCCACTCATACTTCCACAGTGAGTGTGTGACAATATGTGTGACCCCCAATTATCTCGTCTCCTGGTGCTCATGTGCCCCCCTGTGTAATCTCCTCCCCTAGTTGTAAGCAAGCCTGAGGCTGCTTCTAAACAACAGGATATGGCAAAATTGATGGGATGTCACTTCCATCATTGCATTCCATAAGACTGTAACTTTCCCCTTGTCTCCTTGGTGTGCACATTTTGATGAAGCAAGTGACCATGTTAAGGAGGCCCATGTGACAAGGAACACAGGGCAGCCTCCAGCCAACAGACAGCAAAGAACTGAAGCTCTCAGTTCAACAAGCCCCAAGAATATGAATCCCATCAACAAGCAAGTGTCCTTAGAATCAGTCCTTCCCCTCGTGAGCTTTCAGATGTGACCCCAACCTTGACCGACACCTTGATTACAGCCTCAACAGAAATCCTAAAATAGAGGACCCAGAGCCAGGCTGGAAAAAATACAGACAGAACTAATACTGAGCAATGCTCACAGGAGCGAAGAGGGAGGGACAGAATGAGAGACATGCAGGGATCTATTGTTAGGGTCTGGCAGTAATGTGGGGGCAAGATGCCCAGGTTACTGGTTTGAAAACTAAGTGGGCAATGGAGCCACTCACTGGTGAAAGGGCCTGGTTCCACTGGAGGGTAACCAATTAGAAAGGCCCAGAAGGTAGTTGGATGCTTATGTCTAGAACTTAGAGGAGAAATCAGAGTGTAGCTATAGATTTATGAATCAAATTCTATCTGGGTTTAAAAAAATGAAATAATACAATGATTCAATATTTTGAAATCATGAAATAATTAAAAAGTGAAATGAGAAATAATGAAATGACACCATCATCTTTCTAGATGATCAGTTTACAATGACGAACTGTATCACAAGAACTCACTCAGTTTTCTCTTCATCCCATTGCAGTCCACAATCTACACACAAATCCTGGATGGAGAGTCTTAGGCTATAACTAGGCAGTTCCTGGGGCCCTTTATTAAGATGAATAGTCACGCATATCCGCTGAGGGCCCACTGTGGGCCAGGCACTGACCCAGGCCCTGGGGAGGCCACACCCTGCAAATCTCGGCCCTCATCGAGATGACAGGTCAGAAGGCTTCTCAGACATGATTATAGCTACAAGTTGAACAAAAGTGAAATTTCAATTCAGAGGAGGGCTGGGTGGAGCTGGTCTCCCACTCGGGAAAGGTTTCTCTGAGGATGTGACACTTGGCCAAGCTCAGAGCATGAATCAGAGGGAAGGAAAAGAGGACAATAGGTATTTGAGAAAGAGAAAATAGTGCCTGAAGGAGCCTGGGGGAGGAAGTAGAGATAGTCCAAGGTCCAAAAGGAGGCACGTTTGGCCCAAGTGGAGAAAGTCGGTAGGACAATGAGTCAGAGGCACTGAGCAGGTCGAGGGGCCCTGGGGAGGACAGTATCATCAGTAAAATGCTCATGAAACACCCGTAAAAGAACAGGAAATATATTCTGCTTGGCTCATTAAATAAGGTGCATATAGTGATGGTCTGTGATAATGCATGCCTTAATGAACTTCAACAAATCAATTGGACTTAAAATAATTTAATCTCTTCATAGAAAATGCCACAGCAAAGTATCTACATTATATAGGAGTTTAATAAATATTGTTTGAATCCAAGTTGATATTGTTAAATAGTCTGCCTTCCTACACCGATGATGTTTGCTAGCCTGGGGTCAAATTCAGCTAACATAGGAAAGCATCTAGAACATTCCTTGGCCCACAGGCACTGTCCTTGTTTGACCATGTGGTGAAGGTAAGATGCTCTTCATTTTACAGAGCAACATCACGGCGACTCATAGAAGTTAGGGAGGGTCTCAACAGTGACCCTGCTAATGTGGGGAGCAGGCCACATCCTCGTCTTGACTAGAGCACCTCTTCTATCCCATGCTGCTGCCCCTTGAAAAATAAAGCTCATACATTTAAAAAATAATAATAATTTAAATTAATTGAAATCCTTAAAACATGGATTTTTTTTTAATCCTAATGGAAATGCAAAGACAAATTTGGAAATATGTATGAGATGTTAAATACTGAAATCTGACTGGGTAGTTGTTTCTGTGAATGAAAGCACTTAATTTGTTTATCCCAGCTTCTTACAATTTCCTGACTATGACCTATTTTCTTTCATCCCAGGAGCAATAGAAGGCCAATGACAGAAGGATCCAGTGATCTGAACTTCGCTCTGCGGAAAAATAGGTGAATATTTTCTTGTTAATTAATAGAGGAGTGAAGAATTTGATTCTGTGGCAATGAAGCTGACCATCTCTATCTCTATTTCTCTCTCTCTCTCTCTCTCTCTCTCACACACACACACACAGAGAGCGAGAGAGAGAGAGAGAGAGAGTCAATGTGATAGGACAGCATTGCTGGCAGTGACCTTTGAGGTGACATGAAGGGAAAGGAACTTGTGTGTGATGCAGGTGTAGGCTGAGAAGACCCCCAGGGCCCATAGCATTTCTGAACAGGGCTATTTCCATCACCCACCCGGGGTTCCAAACAGCCCAAGAGATGCCACTGAAAAGGAACCTTCTATTCCCCAGCTGATGAATGATTTAGATGATGGCTCGTGGGTGGGTCAGGCCAAGGTCCACTGCCAGGTCTCACGAGCAAGGAGACTAGAGAGAGCCACCTGCCTCTGGTTTCTGTTACTAAGCAATTCTGACATCAAGACTTCACAGGCTACTGAGAATACAGAGATGAAAGAAAGTCCTGGCTTTAGGGGGCTCACAGCCAAGTTACAGCTCAGAATGGGGACAAACGTGATGAAACCACTAACAGGAGGCAGATCCTGAAGTCAGGCCCAGCTCTGCTGTAGACCAGCGTGTGGGCAACACCCAATGCTCAGAGGGGGTGCGGTCTCCCTGTGCCTGGACAGAACTCCCTCACCATGGCCTGCAGGAGCAGTCTCCATGCCCAGAGGTGCCCGGGGGTCTCCATGTGCTAGACCACTCCTTGAATCCTACTCTACTTCAACTCAGATCAATCGCCAGACACGCGTTCAGTTCCTACCATGTGCCGGGCACAAGGAGCCTTCTCAGAGCCCTAAGATTTACTAAGAGAAGTCGCTCTCCTAGGCAGAGAGGGTGAACGTCTGCAAGGCGGAACACGTGAAATATTTTCAGACCACATTAAGCCAAAGAGAATTTGTGGCTGTTCTCAGACTTCTTCAATGTTTACATTAAATCCATTTAAATAATGCATTTTACGTCCATTTTTCTTATTTCTTGACAATAGTGAGCGATGGTAGATGGAAGGGGTAGAAGCCTTCCTTCAGATGGAGATGGTTGTGGCAATTACAGACATCAAAGTAATATTTACACTCACATTTGAGAGGAAAAAGAGAGAGCGGCTTTTTTTTCCCTGAAGCAAATTATTTCGGGATGTGTCACAGCACACTCAAGATATATTAAAAAGAGCAGCAGACGATGTTTCTGCAACCTGTTCCAAACCATTTATAAACTCAAGCTAGAAAAAAATCCCCCACATCCATACAAATCTCTCTACCATGGCATATTTTATAATGAAAGTATCGTATGAATATAAATTAGTTTTGAGCTAGATAAATCAAATCAAAATGTCTGAAAACTATATATTTGGGTCTATGGTCTTACTTGAATAACTTTGAGCCAATGTTCTCGTTCTCCATACGAATTATAATTATCAGCATGTGATGGTGGTGAAGGTCGGGGCAGGGGGCAGTCCTTAGGAGCTGGACTGAAGTGCCAGGCAACCCGCACCCTGGCTGGGCGACCTCGCCCACATGAGCCGGTTTCCATCACAGCAGCGTGTGTATTTTAGAGAAGGAATTTGAAAAATAATAAGCAAGCCCAGCCAGCGTGGCTCAGTGGTTGAACTTCAACTTATGAACCAGGAGGACATAGTTCGATTCCTGGTAAGGACACATGCCCAGGTTGTGGGCTCAATCCCCTGTGTAGGACGTGTGGGAGGCAGAAGATCACTGATTCTCTCTCATCATTGATGTCTCTCTCTCTCTCTCTCTCTCTTTCTCTCTCTCTCTCTCTCCCCACCCTCCTCTCTGAAATCAATAAAAAAAAAAATTTAAAAAAAAGTTGAATGAAGGCCTAATGTGCACCAGGCACCATGAAAGGAATGTTGATGTTTAATCCGCATGACAGTGCTCTGGAGTAGGTTTAAAACTATGAGATTTAGATAAGAAATGGATAATTATACACTCCTTTTAACTAAACCGAGTATGTCCTTAGAGCAAGAAGTGCTGTAGGGGCTCCAGGGAGGGAGGGCCCAGGGCCCAGCAGGGCAGGATCCTGAGGACATGGGAGGGGCCTCCCCCAGCCAAGGGGGCCGGGGGTGTGAGCTTTTTATAGTTCTGGATGCTACCAGACACTTTCAGCATTTTCCCCAGGACCCCTTCAGAGGGTTGTATGCACCAAAGTTTTTTTAATCCTCATGGGAGGATGTGTTTTCATTGGTTTTAGAGAGAGGAAGGGAGAGAGAGAGAGAGAGAGAGAGAGAGAGAGAGAGAGAAACATCAAGATGAGAGAGAAATATCTATCCGATTGCTTCCTGTATACCCCCTGACCAGGGATAAAACCCACAACCTAGATGTGTGTCCTTACCAGGAATCGAACCTCCAACCTTTTGGTGAATGGGACAACACTCCAACCAACTGAGCCACCTGGCCAGGGCCAAATATTTATTGAATTAAATAGAATTTTAAAAAGGAGATTGTTGAAACAAGGAAGGCTTCTTCTTACAAAGCATGAACCCCGTTTTCACTTATGAAAAAGGAGCCTTGACCTGACTCTACCTCCATGTGAATTTCAGCTGCCTCAAAGGAGTACAGCAAGCATGTCAAACTCATGGCTTTGTTTATTTGGCCCATGTTAGCCTTTGAGTTTGACATGCTTGGAGTACAGGCTTAGGAGACACTCTCCAATCTTGCGTCTGTCAGAAAAACCAGAGAACCGATTCCAGAGGTGTCTACATGGGATGTGGAGAGGGTTCCGGCTGTGTGTGGACTGCAGGCCATGTTGGGATAGGACAGGCGTGGGCTGGACCTAGGCGGTCTTACTCTTGAGATGCCCCTCTTATCAACGCTTCTCTGGACATGTGTACATTCATTCACTCACTCATTCATGCTCATCCACCATGTTTTTGTGTACGGGCCATTATCCAGGCACTGTATTAGGCACCTGCTCTCCCTTTTAGGAGCGGGGGGGCCTGGGCAGGAAGTTTGAGAAATTGTGTTGTACTCTGTCCTGGTTAAGTGAGCATGGGTTCCATTGCCCAGATGCCAGATGGTCAGGGGAGGGCTTTGGTGGTCACACTCCCTGACACCATGGATACCTCACTGCTTCTTTCTGAAACTGTTCTACCCCAGCCTGCCCTCTTCAGGGCATCACAGCAGCTCCCACGCACCTTTCTGGGCCGCAGCTCTGGGCATCCCTATCCACCTCCTGGCGAATGTGCACACTGCCCGCAGCCGGCACAGCCCTCCGAGATTACCCCTTCCACCCTCTCCTCTCCGCACCACTTTTTCCCAGCTTGAGCTCCCACAGCTTCCTGCTGTAAACCCCACTCCCTCCTGGTGGGTGATGGAGAGGAAGGAGGGTGGACCCTGCCCTCAGACAGGCCGGGTGTGAAGGGACATCATGGAGAACTCCTCAGGGGTGCACCTGGGCCTCCACCTACCCTGCAAAGTAAAAGGTGTCCATATATAAAGACATGTTATATATTTCTTTTATTGATTTCAGAGAGGAAGGGAGAGGGAGAGATAGAAACATCTATGATGAGAGAGAATCAGTGATCGGCTACCTCCTGCCCGTGACCATAATAGAACTTGGGGCTCTTCAGTCCACAGGCCGACGCTCTATGCACTGAGCCAATGCAGCTAGGGCAAAGCAAAAGGTTTAATTCCTGGTCCCAGTGGGTTCCAGCACACATGATGCCCTAAAATTCATATATTGATACTGCCCACCGGGAATTGCCAGGAGGGTTGGGTGAAGTGACTTACGGCACAGACACTCAAAGACAGAGAAGAAGGGAATGGACTTATATTGACACTGAGTTTAGCAACTCTCAAAAATGCCAACTGTCTTCCACACATTTGAGATTTTAATGTCAGGGCAGGACAGATGAATACTCTATCAGGTGATCAGTGAGCCGAGCCCATTCCCTTTGGAGGCCTCGAGAGGGAGGGAGTGGCTGGTGAAGTCACCCTGACCGTTTCCTGGGGGCGTTGCTGGGCCTGCATGGGGCCTGGGGAGACCCAGAGGGGCCCACACACAGCACACTCAGGTAGCGATGAGGAATTAGTCTCTGTGCCGGGAGCACGACCCTAGAGACAGGACAAATCCCATCTCTATGGAGCTGGGTCAACACACCTTCCAAACTCCGCTCCTGGATAAGCAAAACCCTGTGCCCGCCTCTTCCTCAGTGCCAGGTCCCCTGGGCAGCAAGGGAGGAGGGAGGACAGGGAGTTCCATTTAGTTCCCTTTAAAAACAGGAAATGGTTAAACATATTAAATCCTAAGAAATATTAAAATTTTTAAATAATTCAAAAATTAAAAATCTTTACTTGTAAGGAGCCCTAACTATTGAAAACCACCAACCCCTGAGGTCTGCTTTGTTATCTTACATCCCGTGGCCTGCCTGCCAACAGGTGGACGCCCGGGACACAGAGGAGGACCTGTCTCCCTCGGGCCCCCAGGGGCAGGCAGCAGGTGTGGGGGGAGCTTTAACTGCATCCAGCGTGGCCTGGCACATGGCTCCTTATGGACGCTGCTGAGGACAGAGCCAGGGTGCGCCCCTGCCATTCCCGGGCACGGCACAGGCAGCTGCTAACACGTGGGCCCCGCTTGAGCCCAGAGAAAATACATCCCATCCCCGTGAGGTTTGCTAGCAGCGTCTTTCATTCATCACCCCAGCCTGCCAGGCTGCAACGTGTGTGAACACAGGAGTCTTTTCAGAGAGCTTGTCAGCTGCCCTCCAGCCAGACAGAACTGGAGCCCAGGAGGCCTCCCCAGGTCGTCCTCCCCAGACCCAGGGCGGCACTTCAGCCCCTCCTCGCTCCCCTCTGCGGGCTCAGCGAATCACACCGCCTTCCTTGCCTTTGCTGCCTCTGCTAGTTCACTGAGCTTGCATGACGCACGAGAGCCCTGGGGTGCGGGTCCCGAAGGACTCCCCTGTGCGTGAGCGCTGTCGCTGTGGGACCGGCGGGCGGGTGGCAGGGTGGGTCAGATAAGCCGCTTCCAGGCGCCCTGACAATCGGAATCTCCCGGACGCAGAGCTTGTTGGTGGAAGTGGCTGCTTGCTCGAGACTTGTCAATAATAAGGGATTTAGAGTCGGACAAATCCCTCTCTGCCTGGTGCTCACTGCCCCACTTTGGGGAAGTCACTTCGTTCTCTGAGTGTCAGCTGCCTCTGCGTTGTGGGGAGGCCGCTGTGCCGTGGAGTCCAGCCCGGCCTCCCGTGGACCCGTGGCCCCTCGGAGCCCCTCCCTTTAGGGGCCAAAGGACCTCACTTCTGCCTCCAAGAGCCTAAAACTTAGAACAGCGAATGGGGCCACATTATCTCCAAAGTGTTTTGGAACATAATGGTCTTTGATTCCAAACACCAGGTGAGGTCAAGATCAGAAACAAGACAGGACCCTGATTTAAAGCCAAAGCTCCCTAGGAGCCTGGGAAGACAGGCCTGGCGTCCCAGACCCTGGTGCAGGCTCGCAAGCGGCTTGGCCAGGGCCGCATAAAGCTCTCTGCACGTGGGAAATACACCCCTTCTGTTTCTCAAGTCCAGGGAGCCTCTGAGGCCTTCATCAAAGGCCCGATGTCACGAAAGAGGCCGCGTGTTGAAAGTGTCAGAGAGCTCCCGGGCCCCAGATTAATGGTCGGCGCCTGGCTGGCTGGTGTCCTGTTAATTTCTGCAGAATCAGGCGACTTGGAAGGATGCCAAGAGCCAATAACCACCAGGGCTTGGAGCCCGCAGCTGCAGGGCTCCCGCGAAGCCTGACTGGCCACTGCCTACAGGCCAGGGTCCGGAGAGGGGCGGGGGCCAGGATTCCAGGCCTGGTGTCTAATCCCCCACTCTCCGGAGGACGGGGGCAGGTTAGGGGGCCCTCTGAACCCCGGCTTGCCTTGTCTGGGAACTTGGGACAGCAGCAGCTACCCCGCAGGGCCATTTTGAATTTAAAATGGTCAACAGAGGCAACAGCAAGAGCTGGAAGTGGGACTCAGACTGAGGTCTCCTGGTTACCAGCATCTCCAGGCCTCACTGCTCTGTGCCCAGTGTCCCCGCCGCCAACCAGGCCTCATAAATATTTACACCCGCGTGTGTTGCGATGCTCAGCTAATTGCTCCAGTGACGCACTCCGGGAGCCTCGGAGGAAAGGCGCGATGCCCGGGCCGACACCAGGGCCGGGTCGTTAGAGGCACAAACAGAGGCGCTCACAAAAGCAAAGTCCTCGGGAGCTTCCCATGGCCCCAGGGCGGCTCAGATCTTCGCTGACGTCAGGAAAAGGTGCTTCTATAGCACACTGTCCAGGGCCAGTGAGGCGGCCAGGCACAGAGCCCCTGGCAAAACAGCAAAGACCTATGCATATAACTTACCACAGAGGAATGCAAATGGCCCAAACCATTTAAAAGTTATTATAATAACAATAATAATTCAATCTCACTGGTCATCAAGGAAACCAGACAGGAACAAAATGCCAATCGGCAACGCTGTTTTAAAGGATGGATGTCAGGGTGGTGAGATGCCGGGAAAGTTCCCTTCTCACCTGTGGGCTGGAATAGGCACTGATGCAGCCCGTGAGGAAGGCCCTGGAGATCGATGTGAACAAGGGTGAGACGGCCCACATCACTGTCCCCTTCGTTGCACTGGATGAAGGGTCTCCATGGAAATATGCAGCCATGAGGTTACAAATGCAGGCATGGATGCACATTGCAACCTCGCTCACAATAGTGAAAACTAGCCAGGCCCTACCTGCCCCTCCAGAAATTACACAGCCCAGAAACATGTTTGTGAATAACAGTTAAAGATACACCACCCATTGTTAACATCAGGATCCTGCACAATCTCATATGCTATGCTCATACATCTGTGTACGTGAGTGTTTGCACACAGCCTCACCCGCACGGGCACCTGTGAACAGGAGGTTTGCCCAAACACTGCCTGTGCAGCTGGTTGTTTCCTGCCGCGTGCATTTTTCTATTTGCTATATTCTCTGTCCTGAGCTGTTCCTTTGGGTCTAAGACAATATAAATATTGAGAAATCGTTCCGTAGGTTGACCTGTGAAATGGCCCTAGATAAGCGCCCTCCCCCCACTTCAGGAAGGTCTGTGACCCATGCAGCCGACTGACACTGACCTGGCTTCTCTGTTCTGCCCTAGGTCATTGCCTCGAATCGGCAGCGCCGCAGGTGAGTCAGGGGCCCGTCCCCAAGCCGCGGGGAATGTCAGCAGGGCCTGTCAGACTCTTCCTTTCCTCCGGGTCTTTCTGTTCTTCAGTAAAACCATTGGCCTGTTTCAATGACGCGAGCACTTATGGCCTTTCCCTGTTCTCGCTCCCAGGGGCCAGCCTGGCCTGTGATGGCCACGGTGCTGGGACTAGGCTGAGCAGGTGGGGACCTGTCTCTCTGCCTGGCAGCTGTGTGTCCTGGGGTGGGGCACAGACCACTCCGGGCCTGGGTTCCTTCGCCTATAGAGTGGGTAGGAGGAGCCTAAGCCAGTATTGTGGCTACTCATGAGTGTTCACTCAACTGGACTTGGTGTGATGGGTTCTCCCCAAAATATGCATCAGGCGAATGGATCAGAAGCCACACTCTGCTTCTCTGTGAGTCTTCTCAGAGCCCCGCCCTTGGTACTTGGCGCTTATAGGCGCCCCTTCCAGTGTGACTAAGAGGCTGTACTGTTCCTGTTGGACCATCCTAATTTCAAGGAGCCTGGCCCAAGTGGCTCAGGTGGTTGAGCATCATCCTGTGCACCCAAAGGTTGCCGGTTCAGTTCCCAGTCAGGGCACACACCTGGGTAGCAGTGAGGAGAACAGGAAAAAGTAAACTAAAAATCACAAGTATGAATCTACATAAAAAATGAGCACCGAGCTCTAAGCCCTCCCAGAGAACATGTGATCAAGTTTCCCAGTCAGGTCCCAACAGAGGACCTTGTGTTCTCTCAAGGTCAATGCTCCCAAATTATACTTGAATTTTGGTCTCTAATGTACCCCATCTCACTATCTGCTCAGAGTCCCGGGGAGATTGTAGGAAATGTTAAAGGGGCAGTGTCTGGGCATGAAGTTGCTCATTTGATGTCGTGGCTGGTGAATTATAAACCCCAGGACCTGCATCCCTCCCTTTGACTTTGCTGTTCACCTGCATTAAGGGAGTCAGAAACTGGCAGGTGGGTATTTCATTCCATCAACAATGGAAAAAAAAACACAAATCTACACCCCAGAATGTCCCGTGAGATACAGCTCCCCAGGCCCGCCCACGTGCACTAGAGTGCATGCCCTGCCCAGAATTCTCAGCGACAAAGCACCCCACCCCTGCACGCTGGCAGACCACTGCAGGTGTCCGTTCAACTCTAACAGAACCCATACAACTGGGATGCACATGGCGATTGACATGAGCGACGGCTTGTCACAGGGGCATGTATTACATTCCCAGGTGCTTTTAAATTGTCTGTGATTTTCTTTGCCGGGGGATTAGTTAAAAATAATGGTGGGCCATCCATATGAGCGAATGCTGTGTAGCCATTAGAAGTGATGATACTGAAGCGGGTTCCCTGACACGTCTGTGATAGCAGGCAATTCTATGAGAGAGCAGGCAGGAAAACAGCATACACGCAGCATGACCATATGTATATGCATATACTATAACGTGTGTGTGTGTGTGTGTTTAGGATGATTGTCTTGGTATGAGGAATTATGGTGATTTTCATTCTTTTTTTACTTATTTGTATCGTAATTTTTCTACAGTAGTATATATGTTTAATATATTTTTATTGACTTCAGAGAAGAAGGGAGAGAGATAGAAACATCAATGATGAGAGAGAATCATTGATCAGCTGCCTCCTACCTCCCCTCTCCCCCCACCCCCCACTCCCACTTCCACACACAAACTTTATGAGGAATTATGGTGATTTTCATTCTTTTTTTACTTATTTGTATCGTAATTTTTCTACAGTAGTATATATGTTTAATATATTTTTATTGACTTCAGAGAAGAAGGGAGAGAGATAGAAACATCAATGATGAGAGAGAAACATTGATCAGCTGCCTCCTACCTCCCCTCTCCCCCCACCCCCCACTCCCACTCCCACACACAAACTCACACACACTGGGGATTGAGCCCACAACCCAGGCATGTACCCTGGCTGGGAATCGAACCCTGACTCCTAGTTCATAGGTCAATGCTCAACCACTCAGCCATGCTGGCTGGACAGTAGTAGGTATTTTTATATACTAAAAACTATCCAAAATTGAAGAGGATTCCAGGGCTGGAGAAGACAGGCATGTATTCAAACATGACACTGTCAATACCAATACCCCTGTGAGGCTGATAAACAGAGAACAGCGCCATGCGTCTCCGTAGAATAAACTGAGCTTTTCTCCTGCCGCTGAATAGAGAATGAAATGGGAGAAGAGAGCCCTACTTAGAAAGTGGGTCATTCTGTCCTCAGTCACCATCCGCAGTAAAAACCTGATCGTGTTGAGTCCACTAAACAGAGGAGGAACTTCATTTTGTCCAGAAACACTTGTTTTGTTTTGCTTTTAGTTTTCTAACAAAAGCAGTCTTGAAGGTTGTTTTTGTTGTTGTTGTTCCAATTTTAAAGGAAAAATGAGTGATTTTAGAACTAGAGGGAGAAAAGGCAGGTGTGGAATATGTGAGCAGCTGGTGCCGCCTGCTGGCCCTTTCTGGATCTTGCAACACTGGCATCAATTTAGCAGAGGCCTGGTGGACAAAAAGAAATTCAAAAGTTGACAGTTTAATTACTGGGGAAAGGTGTTTACCGATTTCTGGTAAGCCCAGGCAAAGATTTCAAATCATCTAAGATTGCTAAGCCCCTGGATTAAGAATTGTCTTTCAAATTCCATGTGTATCAGAATCACAACACTGAGACGTGCATGTTCTCAAACCACCCCATGGTTTATGCTTTGACGGGTTTATACCAAGACCAGGAATCTTGCATTTTAACAAGATAATTCCAATTCAGGTAGTTCTAGGGTGGTTTCTTAAGAATCACTGTTAGAAACAAAAAGAATCTTTCAAGATTGTCCCCACCAAGAAGCTGCCGTCAATTCTCTGGACAACAACTGTCTCAGAAAATCTCGTTTGAATGTCTGGGGATCTCCCAAGAAAGAGAATGACGAGCAGCTGCCTGGCCTCTCACCACTCCTGCATTCATCCACCTGCTCATTTAAGCAGTCGGTGGTTCTTCATCTAACAGATTCTAGGACCGTTTTGGGGACAGGCGCTCTTTAAAAAAATAAAGATAAAACGTCCCAAGGACTCAGCAAGTCTGAGGTTCTAAGGCCATGCTTTCCAGGTGAGGAGATTAAGAACTAGAGAAGGGAGCTGATTTCCAAGGGCCACCCAGTGAGAACATTAATACTGTTCTCCCAATCCACCAACAAACGTCGCTTTTTCTGCAACTTTGGACTCTTTGTGCTTGATATTTACAACGCACAATCTTCAGATAAGGAGACTGTGTTTCAGTGAATAAAACTGAAATGCCCAAAAGAGCTAAATGACTGAGCTGGTGGACGGATAGATGATAGATAGATAGATAGATAGATAGATAGATAGATAGATAGAGAAAGAAAGATTGATGATAGAGAGATAGATGATAGATAAATGAAAGATATAAATAT